TAAAATTTCAACCAACAGTGTCACAAGCTGATCAGTCAATGAATGTCGAATGTTTTCTTATAAGGAAACGGATAATATTATTATTACATTTTTTAAATCTAAGAAAGAAGTTTCATTGATTTTTTTTTTTTTTTTTTTTTTTTTTTCAAGAGCTGAGATTTTTTTAAAACAGAAATCCGTGTGGATACTTTTGTCAACACTTTAATCTTGATCTCTTCAAAAAGGTAAATCGTTATCTATCCCTCCACTCCACATAATCCGTAGTTCACATCTCCTTTTCTTCCATTCGTATCACACACCTCATTAATCATTAGTGTAACGCTCTGTTTTGTATTGGACAGTATTTTTGCTAAAATTTAGAATGTATGAAGCAATAGAAATAAGATGAAATAAATGTACCAAAACTAAATAATTACCAAGTCAGAAATCTTTGTTTAATCGCAGTGAGAAAGAACGAAATGATAGTATTTCGTATCGGGGATAAAAGCATTCTGCTTAATATTAGTGAAACAAAGGAGAATAAAGTAACATTTATCAGTGTTACAAAAGAACTGCGGAATATGAGGAAAGATGGCGTCTACAGTCAACGTGCAATACGAAAATGATTAGAGTAGAACTTATTATATGATATCCTGGAATAGACCTGAAGATCTGAGGAAAACTTGAAACCATCTATACGATATCATTACAACCAGTAATGACGTTGAAGAGGCTGTTGTTTTTTATGTTTTGATTTGTTTTATGGTATATCAACCTCAATGGGTTATTTAATGCCAACAAAATTTTTATTTCTAGTAATATTTTTTTCTTCAAAAATGTATAGCTGGTAATATCTTTTTTTTTTTTTTTTTTTAAAAATCTATTGGTGGTAATAATTTTTTTACAAACTATTTCTAGTATTAAAACCTATTTTTATACTTTCATAGTGTTTTGATCCCAGTTTGGGGGTTAACTATTTGTCCATGGCTGGGACCCTAACAGGTGCTACCACCCCAGGTCAGGTTGGACCTGGGAACAACAGCAATTAAGAGGTGGTTCCACGCTCCTCAAAACCTCCTGATCAGAGGTCTTGCTGTTGAACGTAGTGTATCGTCTTACCCAGGACGCGGATGTAGTGTATCGTCTTACCCAGGACGCGGATGTAGTGTATCGTCTTACCCAGGACGCGGATGTAGTGTATCGTCTTACCCAGGACGGGAAGAGTCTGTTAGAGCATTGAAGAGACAAATTGTCATTTGGTTCTAACGAGAGAACGACGATATACAAACAAAACAGGTATATAATACTACTAGTATTGCAAGTGTGAAGATGAAAGAAAATGAAAAAAATACCAAGAACTGACCCTAGAATTGAAAAAAAAAAAACATCGGTATAATGGGTTGTATCGATTGAAATTGGTCCACTCAGAACTGTTTTCAAAATGTCGGATGCAATATTGAGCGAACTAGAGATTCAAGGAACAATTGAGACATTACTAACTACAAAAAGCGGCGGGTAAGACTATTGATAAAGATGCTGAAGTAACTTGTTGTTACTTGTTACCTAATGACAACTACCAGATATATGGCGTGAGCTTGTTAATATATGAAAATAAAAATATAACATCATAAACTAAATGAGAGAAATCTGCCAATGAAGGTTTCTGATCTAGCAGAACACAGTAACATTAAAATAAAGTTTAAAGCAGGACAATTACTGGAACATTACCAGGGAACTGGAAAAAATATAGAAAGTAAGTGCAATTTATGATTGTATAAATAATTACAGAAAGTAACTGTTGTAGTCATCATTATTGGCGTGCCTGGAACAGACATGAAGAGTTTTGAAAAGATTTGGGAAACAAAAGCTAGACACGAAGCCATCCAGACAACTCTGGTAACTTTTGCACACATCTAGTAGTAATATTTTACTACTAGATGTGTGCAAAAGTTACCAGAGTTCATTTTTATTAGATTGTTTCTTTAAAAGAATAATTTCATATTTACAACATTGTAAAGATAAATACAATTAAATCTACTGCAATGCAATAACATTTTCTAGAAAAAAAATTGTTTTTATATTTATTTCTTTATAAAGAAATAAATCTAAAAACAAATTTTTATTCATGAATTTATAAACATTTACTGAATTATTATAATATGTGAATCAACTATAATGAAATCCGTATTATTTAGCATTTTAGAAAAATTCGAATCAATTGGCAATTAACCACTGTTTTTTCCAAGTATTCCAATAAACGATCTAATCAATAAATAATGTAAATAAATACAATTTATTTATTAGATTGCTTAAGTAAATCTAATAAATAAATTGTTTATTTTTGTTGTCAATTCTCAAGAACAAAAAAAATGTATAAATTAACGTTCATATGCTTAGGTTTTATTTTAATTCTAATACCCGCTTTTTAAAAGAATAAATATTACCGAGGAGTGAAGGTAGTTAAAATAATAGCGGTGTCAATGAAAAAGCCGTCCTTTTGATAAACCATTTTTTGCGGGCATATATTTACTAGCTAGCCTCAGCCTAGGTGTCGGGATAAGGCACCCGGTAAGTAAACAGAAGATGATACTACTACTACTGCTTCTTAATAATGGAATAATCTCTTCGAATAAATAATTCATTTTTCATTCAATTTCTTTGGTAATCTTAATAAAAGGCGAACACTAACGCAATAAACAGTGAACTTGAACGTTTTTCTTTGTATGAAGAAATTCCCAATAAATTGATTACTCTATAGGGCAAGCACCTCAGTTCGTGTGTGTTTTATTTATTATACCAATCAACCGATGTATGACATTTTCCATTTATCCTTCGGACACTTGTGTACAAGACCCTTTTTTTTATCCCTTCATTACTCTGTCGTTTATCCCAACTCCCTAACCCCTTCGACTTTGTGACGTATTTTCGGTTGTCATCCAGGCATGGGCTGCACAGCCTTCAAAATCGAGTCCAGCCAATTTAATCCGGCCGAAAGAACCTTTAGCGACCATCTTTGGACCACGTGACTTGACCTCGGTCTCGCTATACAGAAAACAAAAGGAAAAAAAAATAAAAAAAAATAAAATGGTCGTACATGACAAACGAGTCGCCATCTGTACTGAGGTATTTTTTAAATCATTATGCCTAAAAATGGACGGTCGGATTAGACTTTTACGCGGAATGATCTGGTTATCGGCCTTAGCATGCATCTGTCGCTGCGTGGTCGGAGAAGTCGGCGAAAGAGTAACAAGCGAATAGGCGCTATTTTTGAGATGAGCTCAAATTGTAATTTTGATAACAGTCCATAAGTTAGATAGAAATGATTCATTATAAACTATGTTTAAAAATTCCGGCTCGTAGTTATATTTGAGATCAGAAAAATAATAAATAAACGATTTAAAATATAAAAAAAGATGCATAGTAAGGAAGCTGAAAAGCTGATTTATCCACGTACATACACATTATTTATATAAGTTTTTTTTTTTTTTTTTTACATTGCAGTAATTTATTTGAATTCCTATAAATAACATTTTCGAACATCGTGGATCAACCTCAATATGTCGGTGATTGTCACTGAAAATGGAATTGGCATGCCGGGTTCTAATTCTAACCTTGTTTCGTTCACTTCACACTAATGCCCTTGGAAAATGCACCAATACGTCTTTATCCAGTTGTAGGTTAAATCGCAGGGCAAACTGAACTCTCTTGCCATGGATAGCAGCCGGTATAGGTGAAGGTAAACATTAAATTTCCAGTACCTTTGGTGTTTCTTACCCAGAAAGATACAAATAAGTTGTAAACACTGCATAATCCGAGATGGAGTCGCAAAGACAGTTTCGTAGCGTACTGCATGATCTTCCAGTAAATTCCTGCAGCTGCGCCAGTAACGAACTGTATTAGTTTACCCTTTCTCTTAGACACTACTGGCAATGCAGAAACGGGGATCTTGACATAAAGGCATCCTGGGAACTTCATCGCCTTTGTCCAGTCCCGTAGCACTCTGCGCTACCCAAGCGTTTCCCCGAGACAGATCGATGCTAACGAACACCCACACATAAAGACGAGCTTGCTCATCACCACCTTCACAAAAATACCCAATGTTATTTTTCCGCTCTAGAGGTGTATCAGATATGAGTAAAGGATCTTTTAATTTCCAAAAGTTTAATAACACTTCAATATATTACTAATATACAATCAATATCAGTAACTATTCGCTTTTTACAACATGCATTATTTATAAACATGGAATTTTCATAAACGGGTTCAAATACAACTGGCTGTGTTTCAAAATTTTAATAACCGTGCATCCGCTTTATTTGAGAGGCAATACGATATTTCTAATGTGTACGAAAACTAACGAAAAATATATTAGTTATCTTTCGTCTGATTATTATTTTAAAGGTTCATTTTAATTTAAAATTCAATTAATGAGATGACCATAAAAAATGAACAGCAACATTTTCTCTAAAATATGAACTATAAGAAATTACGTGGGTGATAGAAATGATGGTAAATGAGATGGTAAATGCTATTAGCGAAACGGGTTCAAACTGCGACTGGAACTCTTTCAATGAATACTCTGTGGAAAAACAGGAATACTCTTCTCTCTCACCGAACTATGGATAGAATGCTAGGAAGTCTTTTAGTCCTGTAACGAAGTCTTATCTTGGACGTCAGGCTACCAACCCAATTGTATTATATGATATGATTACGACCCGAGAATCACGCATGTTTGTGCTGTTTTTCGTTTTATTTTATATTTTTTGTATTGATTGATTGATTTGGTTTTACAGTGTATCAACCTTTTACGGGTTATTTAAAGCCGGGAAATATTTTAAGATTTAAGAATGTTTTAGAGATAATAACGATTTACTGATACAAGTCCTACTAATTAACCTATAGCTGGGAGGGGGACGAAGTGGATTCATAACTTCCCCACGGTTGTTTGCGCGTAAGTGAACATAACGAACCTAATTGTAATTGGAACTCAGCTCTCCAATCTCGCCACCCGTACATCCAAGCTTACAGTGCGTGGTATTCCCCAAACGATCACCCATCTAGGTACTGACAAGGCTCAACGTTGCTTAACTTCGGTGATCGTAAGAGAACCAATGTTTCAACGTGATATTGCGCAGGGATAAATACATCGATGAAAAGAGAAAATTTCGAACTGAACTCTTTATTACGTCCACCATGGTAGATTGTTCTAGTTTCACGTGCCATGCCTCTTCTGGATGTCTTCGTATCAGTTATCTCCCTTTAACTCAACTCTCCAAGTTTTTGTTCACATGCCGCTGTGGATAAAAGTGTTGGTTGAATCCAATGACTTGACCCAAGGAATTTTGAGTTCAATACCTGGTTCCAGCAGAGGTGAGCAAAAACTTGGCGAAGTGAGTTAAAGGGAGATATCTGATATTGAAACGTCCGGAAGAGGCATGGCGTGTGGAACTAGAAAAATCTACCCTGGCGGACGAAATAAAGAGCTCAGTTCGAATTCCAGTCACCTGAAGAAGACCCTTGACTCGTACATTTATCCAACCTACGACTCTTCATCTATTGCATCAACACGTGCAAATGTCATGGTATTGTGTAGGATGATATTTGTCATGTGCTAACATCCAAGATGATATACAATGTATTGATATCGAATCATATTCCTATTGATACACACACACACACACATATATATATAATCCAGTTATATTACCTGTATGTTTAATCTTAAGAAAAGGCGTCCATGGTATGACGATGAACTACATCCGGCAGTAAGAGGTTTTGAGGAGCGTAGAACCACTTCTTAATTGCTGTTGTCCCGGGGTCCACCCTGACCCGGTGTGGTAGCACCTGTTAGGGTCCCAGCTATGGGCAAATATTAAACTCTCAAACTAAAATTGGAACACTATGAAGATATAAAATTACATTGTTACAGTAAAAATACCAGCAATAAGTTTTCATAGTAAAAGAAATTACCAGCAATACATTTTTGTCTTTAATTGTGAAAGCAAAATACTAGATATTATTTGTTACTTCAAAGACCAAAAGGAAAGTAAATTTCAGTATTAAAAGAAACATAGACTTGTGCCGTTAAACAAACCCTTTAAAAAAGTGAACACATTGCAATTTTATTGTCGATGTTGTAGAGAGCCAATTTTATCGTTTTTTTTTTTTTTTTTTTTTTTTTTTGTGATGGCTTTATTGACATTTTTTTTTTTTAAGAACTTAGTCCAGTCGTTCAGGATACTTGGTCTTTGAGTAGTAATCAGTTTAAGATGAGAAATATTGAATTAGAAATTAATAAACGAGCCAAAACGGCAGGAACAAAATAACATTTATAATTAGTTTTTATCACCAAATATTAAAATCTTTTAGTAAAGATTAACAAAGAGCAGAGAGTATTATATACTAAATTCGCCCAAACAAAGTGACAATGCTACTAAGATGCAAGCTACTGGAAACAGAATGAAAAGATTTTAAAAGAAACAGGAAACAAGGGATAAACGTCTACTCCTATTCAAAAGACCAAGCAGGTGTATTAACCGGACGATAGACGAATCTATCTTCTCCAATATATATATATATAGTGTCTGTGTGCACACGCTTAGCAATCCATCATGAATACCTATCTGGATAGTGGCCGGGGGAAAGTAAGCTCATCACAATCAAAAGCGATAAAATTGTTTCTATACAACTCTCAAAAATTGCTAACAATCACCAATCTGGATTAACATACTACCCTTACACTTTGACGAGCACAAGGCATGTTGGTCGTCCAGAACCTGGTCTACGGTTGTAGGAATCTTCATTTAACCACTGTTCCTGAGATCCACCCAAACAAGTTATTATCACTAATGTTAATGAGGATTCATGTTATAATATGAAAGTAATACGATATATTGCTCATGTTAATATATACTGTAAAATTTATCAACATCGGATGGTTAAGAACAATATTAATGTGAAACGAACATAATCGTAATTATTGTACCAATTTCTTGACTAGTAAAATTTGAGCTCGTGTAGCTCAAGTAATAAGACACAGAAAAGCAACTGAAATTTAAAATTGTATTCGGAAAATAACCTAAACAATCTTTTATCCAAGCTTTATTGTTTTAATAGAAAATCATTTGATTAACATTTTAACTCCTTGTTTATTCTTGTTTGAAATATCGTTCTAAAAAGGATTTCTGCCGTCGATGAACTCAGCGGCAAATTAAAGAAGTCATTTATGCTGGTGCCAAAAATTCCCTTCTCAGATAATAAACGGTAGCTTGCATGCAATCGTCACGTTACATGATCTTCAGGGTTCAAAGCAGTAGATACTCTCCTTTCTACCATCTTTTCTTGGTTTAGCCAACTTTCTCTTCTGGTTTGCCTATTAAAATATTGTATCACACACACACACACACATATATATATATATATATATATATATATATGCACATACAGAAAGGTTGATGAAGGTTTTTGGTCTGATCATGAAGAGATTCCCAAACCAAAATTTCTAATGCTTGGTCAAATATTATGATGTTGGTAAGATCTAAAAGAAAGAAAAAAAAAGTTATTCTTAATGTTCCTTTACATATCTCCATAGTGCGAAATAAAGAATGAAATGTAGGTTACGGAAGATGCATAGATGTTGATTTATATATGCGTATACCAGGTGATATAAAAAGAAAAACGTGTAGATCTACGCATAGCTGTTTACACACACACTATATATATATATATATATATATATATATATATATATATATATATATATATAAAGTCTGTAGCCAAATAATAAAAAACGTTTATTCTTCAGTATCAGTTCGTTCATTGTTAGTTTTCTTAATTGTGTTTAATATTAATCACACTGGGCGAATATTATACAGTGAAAATTATCATTGTCTGCTTAACAGTAGAGGAACAGGGGAAAACAGCACATCATCTACCTAAGGAACTTGTGTAACTTGTTGGCAGAACAGGGATTAAGAGAGATAGCATAACAAATTTACTAAGAAATACAAAGGAGAAGAAATTATGGAGTGCCATGATTGCCCACGTGCTACAGGGATAGCGTGCATCGAAATAAAAACACACAAGGGGTGCTGAAACCTGTTAGGAACAAAGAAGGGTTGAAGATCTGATGTTTGTTAATTAGGTCACATGTTGGGAACTAGGTCGTCTCAAGAACTTTTCAGCAACTCTTGGGAGATATATATATAGTGGGGGAAATAAATATTCATACACTTGAAAAATTGTATTTTATAAATGTAAAAGCCTTAACTAAAACAAATTTTGATACATTTTATGTGTAAAGATACATTTTATTAAAAAATAGTAATAAACTTAATTAATTCTTATTCTAACAGAAATTGATGCATTTTTTCATTTTAACTGATGAAAAAAGTATTCGTACAAAACAAAAAAGCATATTAACTTAATTTAATACTTTGTGGAATATCCTTCATTGAGTTCAACAGCTACCAGTCTATTCCTTTACATCTCAACTAATGATTTTCACACATTGAGTGGTATTTTGTCCCATTCTTCTTGGCATATTGTCTTCAAATTCTTGATATTTGTTGATGCTCTTTTCCCAATTTGAAATATCGCCATAAATTCTCGATTGTGTTCAAGTCTGGGGATTGACTTGGCCATTGCAAGACATCAACGTTACTTTCAGCTAACCATTTCCTTGTAGATCTAGCGGTATGCTTAGGATCATTATCCAGTTGGAAAACCCAATCAGGAGGTAGCCGAAGTCTCTCAACAGAACGCATTAAATTGTCTTGCAGGATTTTCTGGTATCTTTCGGCATTCATCTTGCCATCTATTATTGATATTCTGCCAACACCTTTTGCAGAAAAACAGCCCCAGATCATGATACTGCCACCACCAAACTTTACAGTTGGCAACGTGTTCTTTGGTAAGTAGGCTTCACCGTCCTTCCTCCACACAAGATTTCGATAATTATGACCAAACAACTCTATTTTAGTTTCATCTGTCCATAGTACATTTTCCCAAAACGAATATTCTTTATCCTTATGCTCTCTAACGAACTTTAGCCTAGCATCTCTGTGTCGTTTCAAGAGGAGTGGAGTCTTCCTTGGGATGCGTGATTTCAGACTGTTTTTGTGTAGTTCATTACTTATTGTACGCTTGGTTACTTTAATCCCAGATGTTCCTGCAGCTCTTCTCGGGTAACCTGTGGATTTTGTTGGATCTGGCGTCCTAATATCCTTGCTGATCTTAGAGAAATCTTCCTCGGAGCACCTGTTCGTTTTTGGTTTTCGACGCTGTTACGAGTTTTAAACCTTGCAATGAACGAAGCAATTGTAGTAAAAGGAATATTGAGGTTGTTAGAAATCGTTCTGTAACTGTTCCCATCTTTCCATAGAGACAAGATGTGTTGTTTTTGTGAAATAGTCAATTATTTAACTTTAGGCATTATTAGAACCTTCTCGTAAGACTAGAAATTGCAGAATGCTCTGATAATGGCTAATAGCGTTAACTATAATTACTGATGACATTACTGGAACATTCTAGAACGTACATTTTTCATAATTGATTATTTTATTCTAATAATTGATTTGTACGAATACTTTTTTCACCAGTGAGAATTTTAAAAATGCATTATTTCTGTTAGAATAAGAATTAAGTTTATTATTATTATTTAATAGTATGTATCTTTATACATAAAATGTGCCGAGATTTGTTTTATTTAAGGCTTTTACATTTATAAAAATACAATTTTTCAAGTGTACGAATATTTATTTCTCCCCACTATATATATATATATATATATATATATATATATATATATATATTTATTTATTTATTATGGACACGTGGTAAGAACGCTGGCATTCTGACTATGAGGCCCGGGTTCGAATTTCACCATGACCGATTTGTCAGTAAGGAGACTTTCTGGTGTTATCGGTAGACCCAAACCTTGTGAGGGAAAATTGGGTAGACGGAATACTTGGGAGCCGTCGACTGTCCTAGCACAAACACACAAGTCATCATGGCCGAGGACTTGAGCTTGCAGGCCTTGTTCAAACTGTTTCCCAGAAACTGTAACCAAGGTCTGCTCAGCATAGTTGCAGTACAAACCACAGGTGGCTCTGTGGGTGTTGAATAAACAAAAATGCGCCTGAGCAAGCGTCTACAATATGGATTGGCTAGTCGCTCTCGCAGACAGGCATCCTCGAATACGAGTGGCCAGCAATACAATATATATATATATATATATATATATATATATATATATATATATATATATATATATATTCACTTAGCCGTATTGATAGGTAATATGCCTGTTGGCATGTGTAAATGGAAGGACAGGTATGTATCGGCGTTGCATCTCTGTTTTTGTTAGCCCCCGCCACTTCCCTTGTCTGTTATTTGGCATCGGTACATGCCGTGCCAAATCTGGCAGAGATGTCTTGGAGAGCTGATGGAACGAGACCTAATGTGCCTTTACAGTGGCCACGTTGTGGCCTACGAGCAAGGCAAAACGATACACATGATAAATCATCTGGACCAAACGCATCGATTGTGTCGCCGCCTGGCCATTTCATGTTCATCTCTTTCTCTCTTTACACATACATTCGCACAGTATCTATCTACCTCAGTCTGTTCACATCTATCTATCTATCTATCTATCCAGGTTTCTTCACATTTACCATAGTCTGTTCACATCTATATTGATTTCCTTCTCTTTCTTACGCTTGTCTTTTTAAAGTTCCTTATTTACCCGTTCTCTCTCCCCTCTCTTTGCTCTCTTTCTATCGCTTTGCCTGTCCCTCTCCCTCTTTGCCATTACTTATTACCTTTGAAGCCTCTTTTTGTTTAATTTATAACTCCCCCTTTGTCTTTATCTCATCTTCAATTTCTTTTCTCTCCTCTTTATTTCTAACCTTATTTCCTTTTCTCTCCACCTCTTTCATCATTTTAATTTTCTTTCTGCCTCTCCTCCACCCGTTACCCTCATCACGTGAAAGATTTCTCTCTCCCTCGCTCTTAAGTTTCTTTTTCTTTCATTATTTCTCTTTCTCCCTATTTGCATTTAACGATTCTAAGACTTTCTCCCTCCCTTATTAATTTATGTTCTTCTCTCTCTCTTTGTTTTTGCTTATTCTCTCTGGTCATTATACTTCTCTTTCGGTCTCCTATATTTTCCTCTTTATCTGTTTTCTTCCTTTCTTTCTTTTTTCTTCAAGTTGTTCTTGATATCCTCTGTCGTCTCCTCATATAGCTTTCACAGCCTTCTCTCTCTCTCTCTCTCATTCTACTGTCTGTTTATTTTAATTCTCTTTCCCTCCCTCTCATTTGTCTTTTCTTTCTTTCTCTCCGCGTGCCCTTCTTCTTTCTCTTCCTTAGAATATTTTCACTGTTTCTTTTTCTCTTTTCTTTTCCCCGCTCAATAGTAGCGCTCATCATTTCCGCATCCATCACGGACGACGGCCGGATGGTCACAGCCCGTGTGGCCGGTGGAGCGTGTCATTGTATGACACGGTCTACGGCCGATTGTTAATCAGGCCCATACACTATCAACCCCTGGCCACTTTCCGATGCACTTTCTTTCTTTCTTTCTTTCTTTCTTATCAATCTATCCCACTTTTTTCATCCCACTATCTATCTATCTATCTATCTATCTAAATGGATAGCAAAAATAGGCTGACTAATAATCTATACCTTCAATAAGATATTTTCTTTCTTTCTTCTCATACCTCTTTCTCAGACCTTTCTTTCTTTCTCTCTCTCTGTTTGTTTTATGAACATTTAAACGATTTCTTTCTTGTTTTCTTATTGATATTTTTGAGGTTTTACTTTAGTCTGTTTTTACATTCCATTCATCCCGCGACTATTTCAGTCGTACTTTACAATGATGTTGCTTTTTCTTCTTTTAGAGAAAAAAAAAACAATTTCTGTTCATCTTTATTGGAGTTTAATGCTTACTTTCACTTTCGTTATCATTTCCATAGTTTCGCATTTTACTCTCTTGCTCTTTTATGATCCTTGATCCCATTTCAAGTCTTAGTGTTTCTTTTCTACTTTTCCATTGCATAATAATAGCGTCTACTTTCACTTTTGATTCTTATCTATCTTATTTTCTATTTTCAAATTCTCTGGCTTCTTTCCATTCTCAATACTTTAAAAATTTTGCACGTAACTTTAATTTCGGCATCCTTTCTTTCTTTCTCATTTTTATACCCATGTTTTACTTTTTATTTTTTCTTCTTTTTTTTCCTCTTGATCTCTCTTAATCTTTATTTTCACTTTCACTCTCACTACTCTCAAATATTAAATATATCTGTTACATTCTCTCATCATAAGTAATCAGTCTTTGCTGCTGACTTTCGTTATGGTTTTACACAGTTTTCTTTCTTTTTTTTATATACACTTTCTTCTCTTAGGCGTGTTGTCATTCTGTTTGGCAAGTCACAAATTAGAATCAGTTCAAATTACAGCAAAATCGTTTTATACATTTTTGCAGTAATTTATTTAGGAAAGGTACAACTCTAACTCTTCTTGTTCTTTTTGCCATCACCAGTTAATTTTATTATGGTTTCACCACTATTTCCAATCAAGTCAGGAATTATTTATTGGCACCATATAATACAGTCATACCTGTAATATGATAATTAGCTGTTATGGTAATTTGCCCACGCACGCATGAACTATCCTAGCTATAAATAGGAGCAGGTACTGCCTTTTAAAGAGGGAAGTTGCCAGCAGTCAATCGGACCGAACATTCTTGCTGTAACACTCTCGTTTGTATGTTTGTATTACTGTTTCTGTTAATATATTTCTTTAACTCAATTCCTCTTTTGTGTCTTTATTTCTGGCCCTAACAAGGCCACAACATTAGCGATATGGAGAACTTTTAATATATAGTTATTTTAGTTGAGTGCTGAATAAGGCCATATGGTAGTGTAATTTCTAACAAGCACAGAATACATATTCATCTTCACTTAGGAGGTTAGCACTTAGACCTATCGTATACAGAACGAGGCTGACGACAGTATATGTTGAAGTTTATAGAGAGCTTAGATATTCTGAGATTAGATCAGTTTCAGATCTTATCAGAGATGAGTTTTGAAGCGAAGGAAATCGACTGTGGGGTGAGGTAAGTAAGATTAACAATTATGAGCTTAAACAATCGATGTCAGTTATATGACTCGTAATAAAGATAAAATCTACAGCAATAGATCAGAAGAGCTACTGAAGAAAATTTTACGAACTCTCTCCAGAGTGCAAAAGGCGAGAATGAAGCTTGGATGATCGTGTTATATCAATCATCCGAGTGGAGGAAAGTCTTTTGATGTTGAATATCGGTATTTGAAACCCGACCGCCTGACATCGGTGGGAAATATGTCACTGTTTTCGTGAAGGGGTAAGCCAGGTAACACTCTTTATCTGACGAAATGTCATGAAGGTTCTGATGCATGATTCTGAGAGGCAAGTCCAGAAGGAACTCCGAAGGAATACTCAAACAAGCCAAACATCTTGGAGATATTGGTCAATCTTCAGTCTTTTTCTTTTCATTAGTATTCTTAATTTAACTTTTCTGAACATATCTCTGCCATCATTTCATTCATGATTACAGATGTCATTATTATATGGACGACGTTTCGACCACGCGCCCTATGACCATCCTCAGTAATCCATTATTTTGACTGTATGGGATGCCGGTTCTTGTACTTCTTATTATTCCTGGGTATATATTGTTAAACTACTTGATCCAGGGACTGAACGCACGACCACAAGATGACAGCTAATGAACGCTTAAATCCGCTACGCCATTGTCACAAAGGTTATTAGGGATGTAATTTTAGAGCCTTTACAGCCAACGTTCTATGTTATTTTCGTTTATATTTTTCTCTCTTCTCTCTCTAGTTTCACTTTGAGTGACGGAATTCACTTTGAACGTCTTCAATGCATAAGAAATCCATTCTTTTCACTTTAGTTTCCACTCCTCCTCTTCGAATTCTTCTTGGCTTCATTTAGAATTTCGTTTCACTTCCTGTTCCTTTTTCTTTTTATGAGAGCCGACTTTCATTTTCCGAATCTCACACTCTTTGCACAGCCCCTTCTCCCATCCATTTTCCTGTCCTCGCTCATCTGTAATTACCTTTCGTCATGGATTAAGGCGTTAAACTACATCCGTGTCCTGGGTAAGACAATAAACTACATCCAGCAGCAAGGCCTCTGATCAGGAGGTTTTGAGGAGCGTGGAACCACCTCTTAATTGGTGGTGTCCCCAGGTCCACCTGACCCGGGGTGGTAGCACCTGTTAGGGTCCCAGCTATGGGCAAATAGTTATCTATTACCAGCAATATTTTTTGAAAAAAATTATTACCAGCAATACAATTTTGAAGGAGAAATATTACCAGAAACAGATTTTTGACAAAACAAAATATTTCCAGCAATAAAAAATGTTGTCTGCATTAAATAACCCATTGAGGTTGATATGCTGTAAAACAAAATAAACCAAACCAATCTAAACGAAAGAATACATATTCTATTCATACGAATCTATCCTAAAAATGTTGTCGGCATTAAATAACCCATTGAGGTTGATATGCCGTAAAACAAAATAAACCAAACCAAACTTGTAATTAACTTGTGTTTGTTTAGCTTGTTCAGGGCAGTTGAGTCTGGTTTGAAAATCAGCATTCATACTCTTGCTTTTACCTGGGCTCGAACACGGATCCCTAGCGCCGTTGGCAGATAACCTTTTACAGTCAAAATTGTTACATGTAACCATAAGTTCTATGCTAACAGTTTCTTTACTTGGACTTCTCGCCTGTGGAACATTTATCTAACTTCTTACTTTAGAGACAAGTTTGATCTTGAAATATTTAAATGCATTGTTCTTCTATTAATCTCGCTCCTTAATAATGTTCTTCCTTTTCTTGTATTCTTTTACACTTCTTGAGATTTAATAGCTTTATTGTCTTGCTTGGTGTGAAATGATTAATATACATATAACAGTAAAATTGTCTAAATCGTGTAACAGCAGAATTGTCCGATTATCAGATTAAGATTTGAACCGTTCTATCTTAGAAATGATTAAATATATCTTACTGGAATTCTCCGATGTTTTATAACACTATTGGATTCTATTTTGAGCAATAAAAATGTATAATTACTCTTCAAGCGTAACAGAAGAATCATGATGAAATCGATCATAAACGAAAAGGGCATGTTCATCATTAATTTATCATAGCTAAGGACCGGAAGCTCATGAACGGGTGAAATAAAGTTTTATATATATATATATATATATATATATATATATATATATATATAATCGACTCTCCCGTCGAGAATCGACGTATGAGGGTCAAGCAGATCAGTTTCCAGGAAACCGACAGCCCGACACCGGCACATGATTTGATTATAGTGGTGAAGGTTTCGTGCAGAACCATTCACACTTTATGAAAGGCCAAATACAGAGACTTGGTGCACCGAATGCCACAAGGTTCCCAAACGACCCTCCGCAGGTTTTGAATTCAGAGTTCTCCTTCTCCTTCTCCTAGACCAGTTGCCATCCAAGGCTATAGAACCCAGTCTGTCCTGCTATTTTACCCATAGTTGGAGGGAGAGGAAGAGGATTAATACCTTTCCCAAGGGTATTAGCACGTAAGTGAATGTAATGGATTCGACTGGAACTCGGCTCTGCGATTCCTCAATCCAAGCCACTATCCATTACTCCACTGTACCTATATATATATATATATAAACTTATTCAAGATGATCTTCGCCCTCTCTAACCTTCTCTACTGGAGTAATAAAGTACCTCACATGTTTCATATATGATTTCATTTTCAAGACTCTTCACTACTCTTTGGACTGTCAGAGGTGAGCCTCCTCTCACATGTGCCAAATGACTTATAGATTTAGTTGAATCTTTTCTAATTGATCCCTTTAGCTCTGAGTTGAAATGATGATCCCTCTTCCTGTTGTGACCCACTCATCAAGATTTCCTCTTTACTGTTCTCTCTTTTTAAACTTATTCATCGTTCTCTTGAGGTTTCATGAATTAACTGAAGATGGAAAACAGTATGAATGTTGGCAACATTAATGAATGCCTGAATGTTTTTTCCTCTCACGATTGCTCAGTTGAAAAAGCAGAAAATGTCGACACAAAACGATTTTATCCTATTCTCTTTCTAGCTGAATAGCTCAAATGGTTTTTTCAGTGATTCTTACGACAAATGGTGTCAAGATGACTCAACGCCTCATAAATGAAAACATGAAAAAAAGAAAAACACTTAGGTTTAGTGTTTTTTTTTTTTTTTTTAGATATTAAACATTTTGTAATTTACATCATTATATTTTACAGCCAATAAATTTGAAAACTTGGATTGTAGATGCATTCGTTAGAAATTAATATAAAATACTCAAATAAATATATATATATATATATATATATATATAATACCCAACGCCAACAGTATGACTCGGAGTTTCATGCACTATGCAATCATCAGTTGTCATATATATGAAGAAATATAGTCTTAAGGTGTGCTATATTTATGGGATAAATTGCTCAATATCAGAGATAGAGCGTGTGCAAATATAAAAGTGAACATAGAAGTCAACACTTAGAGGCGACAGTCTGTTTCATGCTATATGCAATCGTCAGGACA